AGACACCCTGACTAGGAGTCCTTGACGTGATACTTCAGGATTTAAAAAAAATAATGTTCACACACACACACACGCACACACACTCAGAGGGCGCATACATGCAGATATATTTATGGACACCCGTAGACAAAACAATTTTAAAGTCAGCTTGGCAGTCACTTTGGTGATTTGTCATTGATCCCAATTTTTTTCACAGAATCCCAATTATTTCCCCCCTGAGATCCTGATTTTTAGATTTCATAGAGTGGCAGGTCTACAGTGTTTAGTACTTTAAACCAATAGGGGGCGGGGGGGTGGTCATGGGGACACGCTGCTTTGACGTTGAAAAAAATCCCCTCTTTTTTACCCCATAGTTTGTTTTTTTCCAGTGATGTTTGAAATTTTCTTGAAAATGATTAATTTGCGACAGTTATAGCACAGTGGCCTTATGTGTAATCCACAGCAAAAACTACTGCCGTTTTTACCCTAAGCAGTGCATCTGTGTGTGGGAAGGAAAGTAAAAATTTACCAAATTAATAGTTCTTGGATATATAATATGACATATAAAATCTAAATCTAGGGGCAGTGTCAGGCAGTGTATGTCCAAGGCAGTGTCTCATGGTGTTGCATGGCAGAGTTCATCCCTGTCACTGTTAAAAAAACAAAACATGAATTGCTGTAATTTTAATTTTTTGTTAAATCTTCAGGTCCTTGATGTTGAGAGGTAGACCATTGAAGCAGCTGTACTAAGTGATGTCAAGTTACCCTAATTACTAATACAATGATGTCTGGAAAAGGTGTAAAGAAAAAAGAATTGCCCGCCACCTCCACTGATGTTTATGATTTAGAGCAGCAGTTTGTCTTGAGGCTTCCTTCGGTATGTTGATTTTTTTCTAAAGGCGTGTTGTAGGGGGTTCACCACCAACATAAAGAGCTTGAAAGTGAAAGAGAAAAAAGCAATTGTTGAGTCAATATAATAATATAATTATATATATGTTACAAGTCAGTTATTATTACAGTCTTTTAAGTTTGGAATGTCACTAAATGTCATTTTCCTTAATTACAATAATTTCTTTTTTGCATAAATTTATTTTTACCTCTAGATGAAACTGGCTCCTGTTCATGTTGTATTTTGTCTTTAAAGTTAAGACTAAGAGGTCAAACTGCTGTAAACATCCAAGATCAATCGTAAAGCTACTTCAGGTACCTTTCAGTTTAAAATGATAGGGTTCTGTGAGCGAGCAACATTAAATTATACTTCTTCGGTTGCTGTTAAGTATTATCTCCTGACACAGCACAAATTAATTATAATGGACTGAGACGGATTTATGCCTTTTATACTACACTTGTTATCTTTATTCTGATAGGTAATGATTGATTTGATCATTTACTGAATAAACACTGATTTCTGTCTTTTTTATCTTTGAAGTAGACATAATGTGGAGCAATGTCATTGGAAGTGTTTTGGTGGGTGCTCTTTTATATTTATGTAAACAAAAATGATTTCTATTTGGTTTAACTCTCCCAGCCCTAACACCGATAATATCGCTATGCGCGCACAATGCTCCAACAATCCTAATGACGACAGAATTGGTTAGGAAAATTTCACTCTTGTGACCGAAAACACTTCTTTTGTGTGAAGCAGACCATAGTCTAATTGAAAGAGAGTAATATTTTTTCTTTTGAAACAGACTGACCAGAAGTGCAAGCCCAAATTTGGAACAAAGAAAGCTATATTAGTGAACCATGTGAGGGGGTGCAATATTTGAATGCAATTCCTTTCTTCCCTTTTTGTCTCTGTATATGGACCTTTTTCCATTGAGTAGTGCATAAAAATATGACATATTGTGCTTTCAAATTTTCAATACACTATTACACACAAGTAAAGGTTTGAATCAAATGTGTGCCAAATTTGGGTAGGATATGTTAAAATTTAGTTGGGTTTTTTTTTTCAATTTTTCAAAAAGTGGTTAAAATCTCTTGGGAGAGCTGACAACCCGGAAGTGTAGGCCTTGGGTTGAGTGAGTTAAAGGCCCCACAGTTTGTCATTATAGGTATTACAGTGACATAAGTGTTTGCTCTTTCAGGATGCTGCAGCAATGCTTCATGAAGACCTTAAGGACACATCAACTGTACAGCTAAAAGATAAGCTCAGCATTGAGATGGACCCAGACATGAGACATGGAAGAGTCAGATACGGTCCAGATATTTTCTTTGCAAAGGTGAGAAGTTTATCTTAAATGGAGATGCTATTTTTAGCACTGTGACGTAAGCGTCAAGAAAAATAAGCACTATAACTCCTTTTCTCCGACTAGCCACTCACAGCGGAACCGCTGTGCCGATGAGCCACTGGCCCCTTGGTGATGAAGAGTAAAGCTTTTGTGTGGTTGCTCCTCCTATCAATGTTTTGTCAATATTCTATTTCTCATTCTAATTTGTTCTAGGTGGAATGTGGTCATCATGCTGCTCCCTTGTGGTCACCATGCCTGTTAAACAAAACATCTGAGATCCTTGTGCCTTCCTGGCCAACAGCCTTAACACTTTGTCGCCTCATCACACCGATCGGCAACGTTTACCTCCCAGTTTCTTTTTACTACATGAGCCTTATGATGGCAAAGTGTTAAAGTCTATGAGAGTTGTACGTGTTCAACCCATTGATGACTGAATTGAGAAGGAGAATGTGTATTAATTGTCGAACAGTTTGTATTTGTCCTTCCACAAGATTCATGTTTTGTAGAATAATAATAATAATAAATGACATTTATATAGCGCTCAACCCCGAATAAAGTACACAGATTCTTTCACTGTGCTGTCAGTGAAGAAAGATTTTTTCAGCAAAAAGTTTTTTGAGACCTGTAGTTTTTGTCCGTGGCCTATACCCTAGTGCAAGGTGAGAAAGGCAATGATGATGACAAATTTGTTGAAATAGTCTCATAGACTTACTTAAGATGCTAATGTACCTAATGTTTAAGTGGAGGAGTAGCATAATTTATAATTTGCTTAAAAAGTGACAGAAAATGGCAATGAAATCTGAAATCAGTAGGGAATTTTTTAGAGCGTGAAACAGACTTTCTTGGTGGTCTGGCTTTCAGTATGTACGTTGACTGTCCCTTGACCTCTTTTGTGTTGGCTCATTCATGCTTAATTTCTCTCTTTTATCTCTTCCGGTACACTTTACTGACCTCTGACTGTTTTATGACCACCACAATGAGTTTTTCTAGCATCATTTATTAATAATGTCACTTGTTATCTGTTCTTTCCCTTGTTTGCTTGTGGGGGGTCTTTTGGGTTTTTTTTATGTGGGTTGTTGGCGGGTGCTCTGGTGTGGTTTGCTCCTTCTTTCCTATCAAACTATCGTCTGTGTCTCCCCTCCTTTTTTATGTTTGTTACTCCCTTGTAACACCTCTAATCTTCGGCACTTATATGACCTTATTATGTTGCAAGTGCTGTAAAACGCTTACTAATACTAAAACTTTTTTGTATTTTTAAAACTGGAATGAGTTTACTGCAGGATTAGCAAAACATTGGTATCAGCACAGGACCAATTGAAGCTTAGTTCCTCTGAACTCTTTTATGAGCTCAATAGGCATATTTGATTCATCTGGCAAAAAAAGCACCTCTTATTATAAAACTCAATTGGATCTTCTCTTCTCTTGTACAGCTTCTTGATCTTCCATCCATCATTGAGTCTCTGAAGACCCTTGACAAGAAAACTTTTTACAAGACCTCTGATGTGTGTCAGGTAAATTGCCTATTTCATTTTTGGATAATTGGGTTTTGTAGCATGTACAGAAACACTGTCCCTACTTGTATAGATGTGAGAATGCTAATTATATGCAGACTGGTGCACAGTTTTATCAGATAAGGAGTTGTGATTGCTTCCTAGCTTTGTTAGCTTTTCTGTAGGGGCAATATGTTCAGTGAAGACAATTGTGGGCTTTGTTATATAAAGTAAAGGAAACGTTGGTAGTTGTAGTATGGGTTAAAGCCTCTGTTTATGTGGGGTTGACTCTTTGTGGATTAACAGTTTGTTGGCTAGTGCAGATACAGATGACTTTTGGACAACTTGTATGGTTGGACTACTAAACGTTTGTTCTGTAAACCACCAGTCTTCATACTGTATACCTGTTAATCATCAACATACATATTTGTAATTTCCGTTTTCCCTAAAATGTGGATGACTTAACAGACATATTATAATGATAGCACATAATGCTTTCAAATTCCCATCTGCTGTATAAGAAAAGTAACTAGATAGAGAGGTATAGCAAAAACAGTTTCAGTTGGTAAAGAAAACTTTTAGGAATGCAGAGTTTTTTAGAAATAATTTTTGTTACCTTTTGTAAGGTCATTTTTTTGTAATTATGAAATTTCAGATGTTGGTGTGTAAAACAGAGGAGGACTGGACTCAAGATGAAAATGAAAGCCCCAGAAAGAAAGACAAAGACAAGAAATATGCATGGAATCATGGACGTATGTTTGGGTTATGCCTTTGTCATTTGCAAAACCAATTTATTATCACAACATTTGTGCTATTTTCAGGGTTGCCCATCATTATGAATTTGGCAGAATTATTATGTTTTTTCCCCTCAATGTTACGAAAATACAACCGTAACACCCCTGATTTGAATTTTTAAAAATCTATTTGCCATTTGGCTACCCCAAACCATTCCCATCTTAAGTGGAGTATGAGGAAGAAAAACAATTAGACCCCGACAGTCTACGTCATGTGCAGCTGTCTAACTTGAACACCTGTGCATAGAGCCCTTGTTGCCACTCAGTGCCACTTTCCCCTAAGAAAGACATTAGTTGTGCCATAACCATGAGTACAGAAAACATTTGTTTGACAAGGTGTCCGAAAGTTCCTGCGCTTTTGTGAAGTGGATGATGGCATAGGCAATGAGAGAATTTTTTTTTTAAACCCCAAAAACGGATGAATGTTTGGAACTTGGAAAAATCAGCTTTCAGAGTGCAGCATGGTGTGTAGTGAGGCACAATCAGGATCAAAGGCTTGTGGCACGTTCTGTCGTTCCCTTTGTAAGAAACCAAAGCTGTTGTTCTATTTCTAAGAAAGCAAAGTGTCTACAAAAGTATGGATAGCTTGCTTGACTTATCTGAAGTTTTCGTTATTGCTGATGCCATAGTTTTCGACTGGATTCTGACTTGTTTAAAACGTGTACCATTTAAACGGCCATGCAAATCATGAGATCTCCATGTCAATAAAAGGTCTTTTTAAAGCGGTAAGTGAGGATTGATTTGTAACTTGAGTTTTATCTGTTGTTTGACTTCATGATGTCTTTTGTTTTCTGTTCAGTTACCCTGCCCTTGAAGAATGTAAGGAAGAGAAGATTCCGCAAGACTTTGAAAAAAAAGGTGAGATACAGAGATCAATGTGCCTCAGGTTATTAAAAATGCAAAAGGGATGTTATGGATTTAAAGGGAAAAGCAGCTGTTTTGTTATATATCTATATTCATAAACCCTATCTGTGAAGAATGTCAGGGAAAATATTTAGGTAAGGAGTAAAAAGACGGAGCTTTTAAAGAGGACACGCAAACAAATATTTGAATGGTCTTTCACTTCATTTTATGCATTGCTCTACAAATTGTGCACTGAGAGCAGAAATATCTGTCTCCTGGATTAGTTTGAAAATGTTCAAAATCTGTATTAGTTCCAAGATAAGAAAAGTAATGTATGATTAAAAATAGTTAATTTCATTGGTATCCATTTGACACCTTTTCCTGGAAACTTTTACCATAATGCATACCTCATGTCCTGTCCCCAGTACATGGAACAGCCAGAAATAGAAAAGGAAGTGAAGCGGCTGTTCCGATATGACGCTGAAGCTATTGATGTGAAGTATGAGATCATTGTTGACGATGAGAAATCTTTATCTGATTCTGGGACGTCACAGGTTTGTTAAGGATATGACTGTTGAATGTCTCGATCTTTACGACATATATTTGATGTTGGTTTATACTTTTTTCAGAGGATGTAGCACTAAACAACATGTTCCTTTTTTTTAACCATCAGAACTTTTTGCTGGTATTGGTATGTTGTGAAAAATATACAGTGGAAACCTGATATAACATATATATATATGGTGGGAGTAGAGAAAATGTCCTGTTATATCCGATCCCTGTTAAATCAGAAATGCAAGGAAAGTAAGCATTTGTTGACTAATCCAGCTGTACTTATTCATGGGTAGATGCCATTGCCACAAGTACCCACGAACAGGGGTTTGGCACCAACTGTCTCCTTGCTTCTTGGTCCACAGCATCTTCATCGGGTAGTCTCATCTTCTTTCGGTCCAGAGCAAACTTACCATTGGAGTATGCTGCCACTATCTTCTCTCTATCCTTGATAATGGTGTGAATCGACCCTTGTGGAATGTCGAACTGACAACAAATCTCTGCCAGTGGAGCTTGCTTTTTGTCAACAGCCTGGATTATTTCGTACTTTTTGTCAATTGAAAGGCATTTTCTCTTGCGCTTGACCGTTGGTGACATATTACTCGTGCGTGTTGCTAGGTTTCGGGCTAGATCGATGGCTGCAGCACACCGCAGCCCTCTCTCGCTTCACACGCTGCGTGTGCTCGCAGTGGCATGGCTTGCGTGGGCTTGCTCCATCACAGCGTTCTCTCTCTCTTTCTCTCTCTCTCTCTCTCTCTCTCTCTCTCTCTCTCTTTCTCTCTCTCTCTCCCTCTCTCCCTCTCTCCCTCTCTCCCTGCTATAACCGGTTGGGCTCCGATGAGGCCCTGTTATTGCCGATAACTTTTAATAGAGACAAAGAGTAGGAAAAAACAGGGATTTTTAAAATCCCTATTATTACCGGATCCCCGTTATTACCGGGCCTGTTATATATGGTTTCCACTGTAATGGTTTACTTTCATAGAGTATCACTCATCAATTAAGTCTTCCCACTTTCATTGAGGTTTATTACCCAGCTCCCAATTTGCTCCATTTAGAGCTCCGTTTTCATTTTGTTAACTGCTAATTAATTGCCTAATGTTCTTAAACAGCATATACTCAAACTATGGTTAGTGAGAGCTTTGGAAAGAGAGAGATGTAGTTTGTCAACATATTTCAGCCATGACAAAATATTGTGCTATTCCCACAGACCCTGGATGCGTCTGCCTCTGTTTCCACCTCTCAGGCTCACCTGACTCGAACGGAGACTAGTGCTTCTATGGATGTTGGTAAGGACTTTCATTTATTGTTCTCAAAAGGATGGGTGTTTTTAGAAAATTTATCTTCATTCTGTACGTTAAATATTTTCTTTAACAAAAAATGTCGCATGACTCTTTCGTATAATAAAACTCAACGAAACTGTTTTGTTAAACACTCAGTTTCTCTCAACCTAAAGTGTCGATGAAAACAAAAGCTTACATCAGATGCCAGATAATTGGTGCCATTTGCTGTTATGCAGCTGGTGTGGCAACTTACCTACTGGCAAAGTGATCTCATGATTGAACGTGAAGGGGTGCTCGTCAGAAAAGGAGAGAGAGAAACCTTGTGTGTTTGTGTCTGTGCACAAGTGCATGTGTGTGTGTGAGTGCATTCATGCATGCATAGAATTGGGTGGTTGGCAGGTGCTCTGGTGTGGTTTGCTCTTTCTTTCCTATCAAACATCTATCGTCCTTATCTCACCTCATTTTTTGTGTATGTTACTCTCTTATAATAGCCTACATCTATTCTTCGGCACTTATATGACATTATTATGTTGCAAGTGCCGTAAAACTCGTACTAAAACATAGAATGAAAGCTGAAATCGCTGACATAGACAAGCCCAACCATCACTACCCTTGCTTGTCTTGCTGTTGTCTTTAACCAGTCAGCCAGTGGCCCTGGCTTTCTGATTCTAGGAGTACTTGTGTGCTGTGGTGAGGTATCTGAGGGCAACAGTGCATGTTCAGAACTTGGGATAATAACTTCTTTCACTGAGTCTGAGGTTACCCATTTAATGGATTTATTTGCCGACTGTTGCACCAATATTCTAATAAATATATAAAGAATTTGGCTTCTCAACTGTTTTTATTTTAGTGTGGTGTCTATGGATGCAAAGGTTGCTGACACACACTGTTTTTTTTGACAGCTCAAGTTTACAGCTGTGCAGTGTGTCTCTCCAGGCATAAGTTCTGGTTTTGTAGCTTAATTAATTGTGCCCTCTTGTGTTATTCATTCTTTCTGAAACTTTCTCCGTCAAAATGCAGTAAAAAGTCATCATCAAATTTTCTGCACAGTAACCCTCTGTAAGGCTATATCAACATACTAATTACACTTGTCGTTTTACTGCATTTGACCGTTAAGTCATTTAGCTGCATTTGTCAGTTAAGCTTTACATAGACAGGAGGAAGGGTAGAGATGCTCTCCTTAGTCTTGGGGTAATATATTTTCATGAGAATACAGATTTTCTTCTTCAGACTGCAGTAGCGGAAATTGCAGTAATGTTATTCAAATTTTTTGACTCATCTTGCTCTCCCAGTCATCTTCAGTTAGGATGTTCTAGATTTATCATGTCCACGGAGGATGTGCTATAATTAACTTTGTAGCCAAAGTCTAATCTCTTCTCCAGAGCAGTAGCATGCTCTGTGCTTCATACGCTTTATGAGTTATAGAAAAAGAAATAAATATTTGGTTTTTTTTCCTCCACAGCATCATTTTTTGGTGAGCTCAGCTCTTCAGAGGAGGAAGAAGAAGAGGACAAAGATGTCAATATTATGGACAGTGGTGAGGATGAGTCCAGGGGGCCAACGACTCCGAGGAGAAACTTTGACCAAAGTATGTCAGAGAGCCAAGACACGGGAATGAATGACACTGTAACAGGTAAAACAGTCGTGCCTCAGTCTGTCAAATTTTGAATCTCACTTCTTCTATCCTTGAATCACACAGGTGGATATATGGTATAACCTGTCCAGGACTACCACCCATGGCCAAGGAGAAAAGTGGTCATTTTAGACAGGTGGTCCTCGTAGACAGTGTCATTATAATATAAGGGAAAAAATGCAAGGTGGGAAGCTGTTATTTGTACAGGTGGTTGTCTTGGACAGGTGATTGTTACAGCAGTTTCAACTGTAATTTGCACTTGTGCACTTGGTTACAGGAGTGATTCCTACTTAGGTTTTAAAAAAATATTTCTTGCTTCGCCCTACTTCTTTTTGTCCTCTTTCAATTTCTTTTGCTGAGTATTTGTAACAAAGTTGACGTTGCCGTTGCAGCTGAACTTCAGGAGAAATTAAAGGAGTTGGTGAAACAGTTGGAAGAGATCCGGGAGAGGAGAAGTCATCAGGAAGACCAGCTGGCCACTCAAGAGGAGGACACGCTCAAGGTACTTTTATCTATTCTGTGAGCGTGTGGTTTGCCGATGCTCTAGTGTGGTTTGCTCCTTCTTTCCTATCAAACATCTGTCGTTCTAATCTCTCCTCCTTTTTTTGTGTTTGTAGTTTGTTACTCTCTTGTAACATCTCTAATCTTCAGCACTTATTATATGACCTTGTTGTGTTGCAAGTGCAGTAAAACTCGTACTAAAACTAAAACATCTATTTTGTGCTGGTGGTTTGTACATACAGTAATGGAAAGGTACCTGTGGTGTGCTTTCTAGGAAGCTGGGAATGTTTCTGAGTGCTATGAGGTCTGCTAGAGTCATAATATAGATTGTAAACTGCATAGAGTTTTGCTGTTGAGGGGGAATGTGTTAAAACAGATGCTAGTTATTCATTATTTGTTTTAGCGATTGAGCTCTTCGCCATCCCCTTCACGAGGTGTAAGTTTGATTCCTCTGTGTGTGTGTGTCGCACTGTGGTGGATTCTGTTTCTATAGAGTATCTCCTTTTTGCTCAGTCTGTTAACCTTCACAGTCGGGGTCTAGGCAGCCTGCCAATTATGAGTAAATGATGTGAGCTGTGATGTTGGGGGAGGAAAACATGTCCTACTATGATTACAACTGAAAGGTAATGGGGATCAGTTCTTTCTCTTATTTCTTTCTGTGTGTTTAGGCTGTTGGGCTCACAACTGAAAAGTCATGAGTTTAAACCCCATTTTGGCCTGACGTTGTGTCCTTGGGAAAGACACTTGACACAAATTTTCCTCGCTTAACCCAGGTGGGAGTTGGTACCAAGTTATGTACAGCAAAAGATCTTGTGAGCTTGTTTGTGCTTGAGGACTTAATCAGCTGCTAGCACTGTATGCTTCCTGAGAAATCAAAAATGTTTTATGAGTGTTCCAGGGTCTTTTCGGATAAAGCACATATAGATTGCTGTTGAGTGGAAATGTGAGCTGTACCAATGTTATTTATTGAGGGTTTCTTGTTTTTTTTTAAAGTGTGCTTTCTAGTGCACACAATAGTGTCAGAGCAGGGACTGACGAGGTCTATAGCCATAAGATTTGGATGATAAGTTCAGCAATCTTTACCTTCAGCCATCAAATTTCACATGTGCCGTTGATCTGCAAAACAATGATGATGATGATAATTGCATTATATAGCACATATCCATGCTCAAGAGCATGCTCTATGCACTTTACAACTATTATTACCCCAGCAGACCCCCTGAGAACACTCAGAAATATTCTCGGCTTTCGCGGAAGCATACAGTGCAAGCCCTGGATTTCACGCGCTCAAACACTATCAAACTCACAAGATCGTTCACTGTCTTTCGCCGGGTACCCTTTTCCACCTGGGTGAAATGAGGAAAATTTGTGCAAAGTGCCTTTCCCAAGGACACAACATCGGGCCCCTGACGAGATTCGAACCCACGACCTTACGGTTGCGAGTCCAAGAGCCTAACCATGAGGCCACCGACGCCACGAAACAAGCTGATTGTATGTGGTAAATACAGGCTGAAAGAACAGGAGGTATTAGAATATTAAACAGTGTAGTGACCCATGACTGCAGGAAGAATTTTCCATAGAGCCATAGTAACTGTTCAACATTTGTAGCTCTCTTGTTGTTTTGTTATTCTACTTTGCTTTCTTTGTGATTTCCTGTTCAGGATGAGATGCAGGAGGCCTTCAACAAACTGGTTCAGGAAGAAAATGAAAAGGAGAGAGAGGTAGGTGCAGTTTTATTTGAGTCTCATATTGTTCAGACCAGGTTAGGTTATTTACAGTCTCCAGTATTTTGAGGTAATTAAATAAAAGTGACCCCTGATATAGAGGTAAAGTAGCTTGAAATGGGGGGGGGGGGTAAACTTTATTTTTCCCCAGCTTTGTTTGATCTTGCTTGATATATTATAATATATATTACAATTGTTCTTAACAATGTTTCTATGATTAATCTTTGTTTGAAATATATCCAATCTTTAATTCTGTGGGTGGTTGGCGGGTGGTCTGGTGTGGTCTGCTCCTTCTTTGCTATCAAACATCTATCGTCCTTATCTCCCCTCCTTCTTTTTTATGTTTGTTACTCTCTTGTAAAACATATAATTTTCTGGCGCTCGTATGACCTTATGCAGTTGCGAGCGCCGTAAAACCTCTACTAAAACAAACAAATCTTTAATTCTGCACCGGAGGAAGGGACAGGGGACAAAAACATCCAACAAAATTTTTAAAAAACTGAATACAGTGGAACATGGGCAACTTGAATTTGTCGGGGGTTGGAAATAGTGTTCGAGATTTCCGCAATTCGTCATGGCCTTGAAAGTCCCAAATATTAAGAAATGCAGAGAAAATCAAGATAGGTAAAAAAAGAACATTAAAACAATTAACGTGATTAGCTCCTTAATGAACGTGTTGATGGTGAAAGCAAGAAGATGAATGAAAGTGGAAAGCAGAAGATGTCACATGTGCACAGCCAACTCCTACGTCATTCCTTTCCCCTCATTTCATTGGCTTACAGAAAGTTACGCCAAATGCCATCCGCACCTCACGCGTCCCACTGCATGATTGCATGCGTGGCAAGCCAGTCACACGGTGCGGTCAGCATCACTCCCCACCCAACTCCTCTTCCCTGTCCCTCCTTCCTTCAGACTCTCGTGGCAAGACAAGGGCCACGTTTTGGCTGTAACAATAACAAAGAAACACCTACCCACGCCCAGAAAGGCTGTAAAGCCTGGTCTTTAGTTGAGAATGAGAAGTGGATTTGTTCAAGATTCGAGTGTTGCTTGTTCTGAGTGTTCGAGAACTCCGTGAAGTCAATACAAAGGAAACATAGTGACTGAAACGGGACCGAGCATTATGTTCAAGATACCCGAGAATTCATGATTTTCGTGTTTGAGATTCGTGGACTCTACTGTAATTGCATGCATATATCGATGCTGAACGAGGTCCAGGACCCCATGCTTCTTCAGTATTACCCATGTCACTTTATTGTGTGCATTGCAGAAGGTCAGGCTTGGTGTTCATCTGATTTGTTTTGTTGTCGCACTGCCAATGGAAACTGTCCTGCAGTTTGGCACAGTTTGTAGCTAGTACCTCTTTTATGTAAGTGTACTCTCTTTCTAATAACTTCTAAACTTTGCTCTTTGGAGGTGTCTATAAGCATACATTAACTTTAAGATTTAATGTTGTATGTGGTTTTGCTTAAATCAAGATGAAAATGACTCATAATTTTTAAGTTTCTTGTGTTTTTTATATGTTTGAACATTAATGATTCGTGATTCTCTCAGTGTTAGTAATAAGGAATTGTTTTATCATTCATATTTCAGTTGGAGATACTGTCAGCAATGTTGAATCAGTGAAGCGTTCTACAAGAGTAAAGCATCAAAGGAAGGACCAGATCTCTAGCTGTGTTACTGATTCTAAAATACAGTTGTTTTTGTCAATACAAGGAAAATAAACTTTGGAAAATAGGTATATAGATATATCGAAGCTATAGCAATATTTGTCATGAGGTTCTGGTCTATTGAAATTAACAGTCATAAGTATTTTATTGCGATTTTTATGGAGTGTCTCCATCTGTCTGCTGGGATATTGTATCCCTCACAGTCAGGGTCAAGGTAGCCTGTCATTTTAATGATCTGAGCTGTGATGTCGGGGAGTAAAACATTTACTATTAAAATTGTGAGGCATTGTGATGAAATCAGGTGCTCGTCAAAATAATGAAACAAAAGAAAAAGGGATTTTACTAAAGGTTTGGCAATTTCTATGGAATTTTTTATTTGTAGCACTTGCAAGACAAATAAGCCATAATTATGTGTCATGACGTGATGGAATCTGGTGATCGTCAATTTTTGGACATGTGGAGTTATTGGTATCATCTTAAATCGTGTTCAGTTGTCTTGCTAAAAAATGCCCATCTATCTTGAATAGAAGTCAAGATATTTGAGATTGAAGAAGACGGTGTCGCCTGGTTTCAAAAGTAGAATTAGCGAGAAAATGGCCGCCAAAGTTTGGTTATTTCCGTAGCTTGATAGTCTGTGAACACTGAAAACTTACATTTTGTGTGCCTTTAATCAACGTTTTTCAGTCAAATCTACCCAGAAATGTGTTCTTAATTGGATAACAATGGTGTTATTGTTAAGCCAAAAAACATAAATTCGATAAAAATTGCCAAAATGCCAGTTTCTTCAATTTCATTATTTTGACATACGCCTGATTTCACCATGCTGCCTCACATATATAAGTACTGGAGATTAGAGTAGAGGAGTTAATATAGAATAACATGAAAAGAAGAGAAGGAGGAGATAATTGCTATAAATGCTTAATAGGAATGAAAGAAGGAGCAAACCACACCAGGGCACCTGCCAACCACCCACACACTGAGTGAGTGAACTGAATTTGATACAAATGATAAATTTATAGAGTTATAGTAGCTCTTGTTGTGTATGGGACGTGTGACTGTGAGTACCAAAAATGAGAATGTTTCATTTACTATACTGTCATTGTCTGGTTATGCATTCGTGTGAATACTTGCATGTGCCCTGTGGTTTTTATGAGCGTGGTTTTTTTTTGTTCTCGGATGTGTACTTTTACTGCACTATAATTCTTGTATGTGTGTGTAATGTGTGCTTTGGGGTATATTTTTGCGTTTGTGCTTGTGTATCTGCTGTGTGCGTGAATGAAAGAGCGTGGAAGGAGAGAACGAATGAATTGTATACATTCAGAGAGTGTTAATTAGCCTTCTCATAATTTTATTGTAAGTATGCATGATATGTTAGTGCATTAAAGAGATGAAAAAAGCGACTGACTTTGTGCGTTACAGTATGTTTTCTCCTTTCATTAATGGATTTTCATAAACTTGACGCAGATGGTGTCACTTTGTCATCAAAGGACTGAAAAAAACGTTATAAGGCATATTACGAAGCAATAATGCTAAACAAAACAAATAAAAGGGCAAATTCACCCCCCCCCCCCCCCCCTTCAGAAACCCAGAAACCTTTTGCTGAAAATTGTTAGTTTGTAAGTTTGTAAAGGGATTGTAGCTTGCTGTGTCTCTAGTGTTTTTCTTTCATTATTCAAAGACGCCCCCCCCCCCTTTCTTCTTTTCTTTCTTTCTTTTTTTGTGTTCTTGTTTTTGTTTCTCTTTTCTTTATATTATGAGGAAAGAGCCTCATTATTATGGGTCAGTGTTTTAGCGAAGACTAAGGTAAATTTTTTAATTTCTCTCGGGGAAAAAATGTACAGCCAAACTGAAAAATTAAGTAATCTTTTAAAACAAACACAGTGAATCAATTTACAAGAAATTTATTATCGTCTTCTACATTGCATGTTTGTACCCACACAACAATTTCTTTATAATGCATAGTTAATGCATTGTGTATAACACGTAAACGTAACAGGCCAGGGCAGAAAGGGACAGAAGACATTCTTTTAACCCTATCTGTACTTTATGTTTTACAGTCATATCCATGACATGGGGAACTCTGTGCCACCACTTTCCAAAGAGGAAATTTACTCGTTAATCCAATCCGTACGCTTTGCATAGCATTAGCAGCCTGTCAAAATGATTTTTTTGAGAAATACTGAAAGTTTCAAAGAGATCTTCGTACTAGTACTAGAAGTATTCTAAAATGTAAAGAATACAACCTCGAGGATACAAAATGACCCCAGGGCGTACGGATAGGGTTAAAGGGGCATGCAGATACATGTAGCTCAGTAGGCATTTTTCTGGAATATGGAGTGGACAGCCCTGGTTCTAATCCCATCGGAGGTTTTATCTTAATCTTGGATTGTTTGGAGAGTTTTTAATATAATTTTTTAAGGCTTTCCATCCACTTAGGCGAGACAGATGACGGACTTAAAATTTGGAGGTCCTTCCGCTTAAATGATTTTTAATGTGTAGCGCCTTTCTTTTAAAGGCCTTTGGTCCCTCGATTTTAAAAACATTTTTTGAGGAGGATCGTTTGAACATGCCAAAAGTGAACTCTTTCCAATTAAACACATAGCGGAAGGGGAAAATATTTGAAATTCTTTACAAAGCAAAGCTCCACCACCGTTTTTTGGGGGGTTTTTTGGTTTTAAAAAACTCATCTTTTTGCCTATCCTTTTAGTTATATAAATAAGCAGTTTCAAAACTCTTCATGATTATTTTTTCCACATTTGTTTTGAAGTCCACAGTGTTTTGCTAAATATAACCCATCACTCTCAATGAATCGTTCAAGTATTTGAACTTCTCCTGTAAAGAGGTTATCAATATAACCATGGATGCTGTACATGTATTGTGCTTGTTTTTCCGTAGGTCTGAAGTTCACAGTCTTTCTAAATGAAACCGAGCATTCTCAAAGAATTGCTTTAAAATTGTGACTTCTGCTATAAACAGAAGGGTTATATGAATATGTTGTATGACCATGGGTGCTAACTATACTCCGCTGCAGAGTATGGAAAACTTAATACTATTGTGTTTGGTTTTGTCAAAACAAGTAACATAACTACAGCTCCCCCCCCCCCCTCCCACACACACACACTCAATAGAAATAGTGTACTTGGTGTGAAATGATGAAAACTACTTAATCATTCTCAATAGAAGTAGGAGTACAATGTATTTGAAGTAGCGGTAAAGGAAAAATTAAGTATAATACACCCCCCCCCCCCTCCTCATGTCTCTGTGCACATCGACATTCACAACCATTTGTTTTTGTATCCTGTCTGTAAGTGTAAGACATAGCACCAACCTCACTGTGACTCCGATGGTAACCTCTCCTCTCTCCACCCCCCCCCCCCTTCCGGAATTTATTTTTACTACCGAAATTTCAGAAGTGCTGCGGAGTCAGTAGCGTCAGTAGCGCGGAGGCTCTGCTGTTTTATATTCTAAGTAAACCCAGGACGGTGGATGGTTGACGGGTGCCCTGGTGTGGTTTGCTCCTTCTTTCCTATCAAACATCTATTGTCCTGATCTCTCCTCCTTCTTTTTTTGTGTTTGTTACTCTCTTGCAACATCTCAAATCGTCGGCACTTGTATGACCTTATTGTGTTGCAAGTGCCGTAAAACAGTTACTAAAACAAAATTTGTTACAAATTCGCTCTGTCCCTTGTGCTATCCGCCTCCAAAATGATTTAATTTCTAATATATACCCGTGGTTAACGGGGTGTAATTTGTAAACCTTCTACAATTACAGATTACGATTTCCTCTTGCCAACTCCTCAGGTCAAGAAGACCTAGGCATTGTGCAATGTATGGACGTATAGCGTTTCGTTTAGTTCTAACGTTGCTTTACCGGAAATTACCGTGACAAGTAATCCGGGACAAAATATTTGTAAAAAAATTACTTATTTTAATTTAATTTAATTTTTTGGGGGTGTCAATTGCTAAGGAATGGAGCATGGTTGCGAGATAACATCCCACTGCCCGTAGCGCACTAAGATTGGTGAAAAAAGGGCGAATGGACCAAACGTGCTTTCTCCTGTAAACTTCCTTGTACATGACTGAGTGGTTTACACTCGAGCTCTGTGAACAATAAAGACAATTTATATCATCATATTCTCAAACAGGTCTGTGGGTCGTTGGCCGCGGGTGCGGTGTGGTTTGCTTCTTATATTCTCTTTCCTATCAAACATCTATCGTCTTTATCTCCCCTCCTCCTTTTTTGTGTCTGTTACTCTCTTGTAACACCTCTTATCTTCGGCACTTATATGACCTTATTGTGTTGCTAGTGCCGTAAAACACTTACTAAAACTAAACTAACATCAAACGGGTCCTCCGTTAGCTCAGTTGGGATCATGCTGGACTACGGAGCGGATGGCCCATGTTCGAATCCTAGACTGGACACCCTTGGGTTGTTTTGAGGAGTTTTCAAGACTCTCAACCCACTTGGCTCCACCATATAGGAATCGGACGTTAATGCCTCTTTATTAATAACCTTCTAGCATTTATAGGGACGCCTAACTTGTACTCACGTTTACTGTATACAGTGGAATCCTGTTATAACGAGAGGGAGGGGACCGGAGCAAAATATCCGTTAGAGCAAGATTCTCGCTATAAGGGATCCAGTAATAAATTCAAGGGAAACTGTAAAGTAGGCCTCATCTATGAGTTTTTTGTTCTGTTTATTTTCTTTTGCTATCCCCCTGATGATGATTTTGTTTCAACATGACCTCTAGCTCTTATTTGATCAAAAATGGAATCAGGTTTCTTTCTCTAGCTCTAGATCTAGCTGTGTGGACTGACAGCCCGACGTTGGCGATCAGAAAGAAAGGGCTTCGGGCTAACTCACCCGCTGTGTTTTCCCCCACCCCACCCCACCCCACCCAGTGGTGCATTCCGTCCGCTTGCGCACGTCACACATTCACTCCATCCATCACATTGCTGTGACTTCTCCATCCCCGCATCGGAGAAGTGAGAAGCATGGTAGGCCTTGATAATCTAAACTAGGCTTACGCTGGTCTATCACGCGATGCGTTCTGCCTGTCTGCACATGCTACATCCTCCCTAC